GACAAGATTTTGTTAATATTGAAAAGTCAACCTAACAATTATCCCCCACTTTATTTTACAGCAATAATGTCTTATATATATTTTTCATTATATATCACGCACTTATAATTTGTCAAAGAATATTTAGGAAAAATTAATTATCATCCATACTTACTTACACAGCGTATGTTTAAAATATATCTTCACATTATTTTATTTTTAATTATAAATTTATAATTTATATTTTACTTTGGAATAATCAAAACATTACATTACCTAAATAGATTGGTTAGGAGTTGGTCTAATTACTAGTAATTTAGCCATAGAGGTATAAAACGCAAAATGACTTTTAAAATAATTTTTTAATTCATTTATTTTTTAAAGCAATAAAATTAAGCTCAGATGACAATAAATGTGTGTGTGTGTGTGTGTGTGTGTGTGTGTGTGTGTGTGTGTGTGTGTGTGTGTGTGTGTGTGTGTGTGTGTGTGTGTGTGTTTGATGGATAGCGGGTGGGAATGAGAAATTAGCGAGCCGAGTTCGAATTCACATTCCCAAATACTCTTGGGAAAAGGTATGAATCCATTTCTTCTCATCCCAACTACGAATTAAGTAGTAGGGTTGACTGTTTTTTTTAGCCTTGGTTGGCAAGTAATCTTGAAAATGCAGGTCTGAATTCCAAACCTGATGAGGGCTGTCGGACTCCCATACGTTAAAGACTACGGACGATTCCATTATACACATATATAAGAGAGAGAGAGAGAGAGAGAGAGTGTGTGTGTGTGTGTGTGTGTGTGTGAGAGAGAGAGAGAGAGAGAAGAATAGGTATAGCTTCACGTTGTGAGTATAAATATCATTTGTTCAAATATGAATGTCAGTGTGCGTGTGTTGTTTTATCATTATGGAAAGGAAAACTGTAAACGGATTATTGTTCATTATCTGATATTAAGTGAATAAAAGCATGCAACCTTCTTTTTTCAAATTGATGAGAAAGTAAATATTTATTATAGAGTCACATTTACTTAACAGAAAAAAAAGTCCAACAAATAATTAATCAAGAATATTTATTTATGCAAACCCCCTTTTCACTTGCGATTCTATGGCGATAGATATTATTGACAACTTTAAACATTAAACTTTTATTCTGTGAGTTATTAGAAGCTACATACGGAACTTGTTCTTAAGAAACAAAGAAAAAAGTCTAAATCCGTATGGTATAAGCATGAAAATGTATTTATTCAATATTATTTCCTCTATTCGTTAAAGGCAATGAGTGGAAAATAGTACTGTCTAGAAAATAAATCACCTTTTGAACGTTATATATATATATATATATATATATATATATATATATATATATATATATATATATATATTAATTAATAATTATCAAACACTTAAAATCCCATAGGTAATAATTTTTATTTCATGAAGGCTATAAAAAATAGCTCTCAATTTTGCGGAACTCCAAATCACATACTGAGATGTGATTTGAAGGTCAAAAAGATTGAGAGCTATTTTAACGACAATCATAAAAATGCATTTCGTATAACGAAATTGATTTCATTAATATATTAAAATGTTCATCTCTTCAGCCTTTTATTTTAAAACTTCGGTCTGAAGAGATGAATATTTAAATATATTCATGAAATAAATAAAAAAAAAATGTATTTTTAAGGTTTGTCTTATTATTATTATTAGTTACATTGAGGTCTGTTTGGATTAATGTCTTCCTTGGAATTATCCCCACCAATTACCAATTGGTATTATATATATATATATATATATATATATATATATATATATATATATATATATACGTGCGTGTGTGTGTGTCGCCGGATAGGGTACTTGTATTACCAATTCAATATATAAGCGTTGCATTTGTCGTATTAGTTTGCGGGCGGTATCCGCATGAATACGCCCTTCCTTATGATACAAACAGGGATTTAAAAAGAGTGGGTGTGTCTGTATCAGACATCTCATCTTCCATTATATATATATATATATATATATATATATATATATATATATATATATATATATATATATATATGGGAAGATGAGATATATATATATATATATATATAATGTGTATGTGTTCATTTATCTATTTCTCAATTTATAAAATTAAACAAAACTACTATCAGCCATATGCTGAAAATATTAATCAATATTTCACTTAATTAAGTAAACTAAAAAGTCCATCGTACTTTTTCACAAACAATGTAACGTAACTTCCCTGTGACTTTTCTATAAATATTTTCATGGTAATAGTTCTGATGAACTTTCCTCTTTGGTACTTTGGCCTTGTACTAAATAACTATTACTCTACTCTTTGGTACCTAGATTTACGAATTTAAGCGCAGTACTAGATTGACAGGTAGGTCACATCATGTTACAGTGGAAATGGTTAGATGCAACCGTAAGTTCTATGCTAAGAGTTTCTTCTCATACTTATTGCTTTCCAGTCAAATTTGACCTTCAAAAATTCAAACCCAACGTCAGTCATTATCTTCTGCCTTCTTAATTTCTGTTCTTTTACTGTTCTCTCTTGTTAATGACGTTTTTATTTTCTTATTATTTTTCACACCCAGTAAAACATTGCGACTTAGAGCCTTTATTGCCTGGGGTGAAATGATTAAAAACATTTTTGAGAATCAGATCACTTTTTCAAATAATAATAATAATAATAATAATAATAATAATAATAATAATAATAATACACACATACATTTTTACTTCTTTGTTTTATTATATTACAATTATTATATAATAATAATTATAATAATAATCTAACCTGAATGTTAAAATTTCCAGATTTTGGAAACTTCCAGAAAAAAATCAACCCGGTAGTGATTGGTGCCCTAGGCTCTATCCCACTGAAGTTTAAAGAATATGGTGTAAGGAGAAGAAAAGAACGGCAAACCAACATAAATTCTAAATATACAATAAGCAATGACCTTGTTTGTTATTTCAATAACGATCATAATAGTGGGGGTCATACATTCCCCCTTGTAATATTGAAAAGAAAATCAAGAGATAAAGAATACAGTAAAAATCCTTTCAAGTGACCTCAACGATGACTAAGTCATTGCTAGGGGATCCGTTTTATTTCTACGATAATACGTTTCTATCCATATACATTTGATTCCTGAAACTATAAATGTTATATTTTTTCGTTAAATATTACTAATATAGGATTGCAGTATACACTAGTATAAACTAGTGTATACTGCAATCTTATATTAGTGATAACATTTTTAATTTTAATAGTGATAACATTTAACCACGTTCTTCTATTTCTCTCAACGCTACCGATTTATATTACTTCATAGAATCCATATTTTGAATATAGAATTATAAAGTAGTCACCCCAAATTTACAATACATATATATATATATATATATATATATATATATATATATATATATATATATATATATATATATATATATATATATCACTTATACGTTTTGCTTTTATGTTATGTTTATGTGCTGAGAGGATTTTCCCTTAGCCTTGTCCCTCCCTGCCTATCATATAAAGAGGGAGGGAACCCTTTATCGACACTCTTTGCCACGCCCTCATAAGCCAATCTTATACACAAATATCTAAGGAGTATAGAGAATTATTTAAAAAATAACAATTTTTATATAATATATATATATATATATATATATATATATATATATATATATATATATATATGTGTGTGTGTGTGTGTGTGTGTGTGTGTGTGTGTGTGTGTGTGTGTAAAGCGGTAATATAACAACTTTATTTAAGAAAAACGTTAATTAGGCCTTTAACAATAATTTTTTTAATGCGGATTACGTGCTTTCTTTTCTTTTATATTCCGTGTTCCTTCAGAACATGCCCGACCATGGCTCACCACAACTTCCTATCCTTCGTAAATCTAAATAATGTTTATCACTTTAATATTCATACTTGTCCTCGCGTGTTAAACAATTACTATTATATAATCAGAATTTAACACAATTTATATGAATATTAATACAAATTTTGTTAAAGATTGTAAATAAACAATTTAAAATTTTGATGCATATCGGGATCCAATGTGTGTAATCCCCAAAATTGAGATCTAGCAGTTTCGAACATACTTTATCCATTAAGAAAAACAGAAAGGAAAGATGCGCACATATTTAAAACAAGCTATAGGTGGAATTATATGGCTTTCATTCTTTTAAAACCGTTATTACAGAGTAAAAAAAAAAAAGTCACGAATTTTATTTTAACGACATCTGATGTGATGTAACTAATAGATTGATTAAAAGTATATTTTTATCTACTATTTACCAGTCTGCATTTTAGAATTATTTGTATTTAATATCTTGTTGATATAGATTTCAAATATTACTAATTGATTGTGAATACGAAATAAGTACATGAAGAACAATCCTAGTAATTATCATTAATTTTTTAAAGTTAGTACAATTATTTTTCTTTTCAAAAATTAACTAAGTTATTCTCGATTTTAATTACTTAATACTACATGAGAATGTCGTTAATTTTCAGAGCTATTTCGTAAGTAAACATGAATGTTACCGTTAATTTAAGCAGTGATATATTGGCAATAAGCCACTAAAAGTAATTCATAAACATTTTTATTATTTTACTTAAAGTTTTTACACAGGATTCTAGTTAGCGTACTATAGAGATGATAAATTAACAAATACAACAGCTTGATATTAATTGAAGCAGTCATTTTGAAAACATAATTATGAGATAACGATATATATTTTTTTTTTAAATATCAAGAACAATTTTGGGGAAAATGTATGACAAAGTGGAAAATTTAAGATTATACGAACACAAAAGAGACGTTTTACAAAACGATGTGTCAAATGCGTTGGTTGCCCACCGTAGTGAGACTGACCATAATTCTGACATAAAAATTCTGCTCTGATAAAAGGAGAAAACAATTCACTACAACGAAAATGTATAGAGCAATGTCTCTCAACCTTTTTAAGTAGCAGCGGAGTAAATGAAAATATCATCGCA